TGGAATAGTGTGTTCAGTTTTGGTCCCCACTAGACAAAAAAGATGTGGACAGGCTGGAGAGGGCCCAGAGAAGGGCCATAAAGATAATCAAAGGACTGGAAAGCCTGCCATATGAGGCAAGGCTGAGAGAACTGGGTTTGTTCAGCCTTGAGAAAAGAAGGGGAGACCTTATCACCATGTTCCAGTATTTAAAGGGTGGCTACAAAGATGACGGAGACTCCCTTTTTACAAGGAGTCACATGGAAAAGATGAGGGGTAATGGGTACAAGTTACTCCTGGGGAGATTCTGATGGGACACAAGAGGAAAATTTTTCACAATGAGAACAATCAGCCATTGGAATAATCTTCCCAGGGAAGTGGGGGATTCCCCAACATTGGACACTTTTAAGATTCAGCTGGACAGCTCGGCCCTTTTTTCTCGTGCTTTTGCCAGGAAAGGTTGGACCAGATGATCCTTGAGGTCCCTTCCAACCTGGTATTCTATGATTCTGTGATTCTATGAACATATGGTAATCTCACGTATTAGCTAGCGGTTATATGAAATCTTGATATTAATTTAACTACGGTGTATTCCTTGGAAATACTTCTAATGAGATATCTCTTACACGAATTAATCTTGACTTCCACAATAAGTCTACCTAGAGCTATACAAAGCCATACTTAGACAGAGCTAAGTGATATAACAAAACACACAGCAGTCTAATTTCTAAGTACAGGCTTGTCCCGGAGATCCAGGAAGCATGAGAAGAATGTTCAGCTATTGAGAGCACAGCCTGTCATATCAAAGTCGGGTTTAAATAGGGAGCTGGACCAGAGGAAGATTATGAATGAAGCAAGAGACATGAAGTTTGTTAGCCTACACAGGAAGGTGGTCACTAATATGGTAAAACCAGGTTCTTGCTTGGCGTGGGCAGGGAAAGAACAAGGGTAGGGAAACTTCCTGGGCATGGAGCCTTCCCGTATACAGACCAATTCAAAAATTCATGCCCACCTTCTCTGCTCACCATCCTCCCGGCACACCAACCACACCAAAAATGACCAGACATAAGTCTATCCCTTCTATTCCCCAGCTCCTTTTCATGAGTAACTAAGCTGGCGTGGTGCAAGGAAGATCAGAGGCTGTATGGAAGCGGGGAGAAAGCAGTGCTGCCCGCGAAGCAAACACCTCCCAGGTTCCTGCCTCCGGCAATGTACTTCTGCACTGCACCTATACCTCACCTGTACCTCACCGTTAGGGGCTGGCCCCAATGGCATTCAGAAAACAAGTGACAGTTGAACTTTAAAGCCATAAATCTTTTCTCATAGCAATTGCACCATCAAGACTGATGGGACTAATCTGAAGAGCAAAGGGTTTGCAGGACAGTGTCTCAAATCATGTTCCAGTGGTTTGAGGTGTAAGTATTCATGCAGGGACAGGATTAACCAGTGAATTTCTCAACCATGTAACTACCAGAGAAAAAAAAAATCACCTCTCCCAAAGCAGATCCCAAAAGGAATACTGAGTTATTGCTGTTTAAACAACAGTTGCTAGAGGCCCCTTTGCCTTCTTTACATGTGGGATAAATGGGAAAAAAAAAAAAACCCAAACCAGAATATTAATATTATCAACAGCTTTTAATACTGACTTTAGTGTGAGCAGGGACTGAATTTAGAATAGGCACTTGAAATTTTTCAGATTCACTTTTAAAAGGGTGAATATGTTCCGTGAACAACAGGGAGCCAATATACACAGCTTCTGAAGAAACCAGGGCCTGAAATACATTAAACAGCGTGACTAAGTAAAATATAAGCTCTAATGCATACAAATTTTGTTTATTGAAAGTCTCTTTTCAGAGAGCAAAATGAACCACTCATTTGAAAAATATATCCAAATGCATTTTAAAAAAATCCATGCAGCTTTTTGGTTTTCTATTTATGCTGTCTTTAAAACAACACAATTAGAGTACGTGGGCACTTTGTTTTTGAAGTAGCATTCGTGGTACTGAGAAATTGACTCCATACAAAGATAAAGCTCTAGGCACTTTCAAGTGCTTAGGAGTTCAGGCTGACTGTTTTCAAGTAAACAAGGATTTAAAAGAAACTTCTCACACACACTTTTGTTAGCAAACTACTCAGAGATATAAGAAGATTAGCCTTCTTATTACTTTTATATTAAGTAATTTAGAAGTTGTTATCAAGTTAGTTCATTTAAAAACAGAGAGAAAGAAGGAAGCAAGCGAGGAAGGGAAAAATGAACAAATTACCTGTCTCAGGTAAAAATCCCTTTGAACTTGTTGCTGCTGACTCTTCTCCTGAAGGTGAGGATAGGACAGCCTCTGTTGCATGCCTCGTGCTAAACAACGCCCCAGGGCTACTAACGTGACAACCAGCCATCCTACATTCCTCGGCCTCTGCACTCGAGCCATCATTTTACTTTAGCTCCACTGCGAAGATACGCTGCTATCCTTCCAGCGCTTGCCCGTTCTCTTATATTCTCCCTTCTTCTCCAGATTCTGACTCAGATTAATGAGGCTCTGTGCTGTGATGGGCCCCACCTTTAAACTTTATACGTGAGTCAAGTTGTACAGCACGCATTACCGTTCCTGAGGTTAACAAGTAACCTCGCAGTTCCTGTAGCTCAATATATACCTAAGTCGGGGTGTGGCAGGCATCACCTCCTCCCCACCTAAGGCAGCCAGACAGCTCTAGGTGATTAGAGCAGTAAATCACTGCCTGAGTAATGCTGCATAAACATACGGGGCTTACGAACTATCCAGGTGAGTGTCTTGATCACTTCCTTTGGCTATGTATTTCCACTAGGTTATATAAAAAACCCCAACACCTTAGTTTATAAAGGCAGTATGTTGAAAGCAATGGGATGGTAGTAGGAATTTCAGCCAATGCTCATCCATTTGTGTGTGGCACAGAACATCAAATGTGTGAAAAAATAAGTTTCTAGAAATACTTCCAAAATGGTATTTGACAGATGTTGAAGAGCTGCCCTGAGCAGTGGATGCACACACGAGACATAAGCCAACCGTAAATGTTGTTTTGTTCAGTCTCTCTGCAGCTGCTCTGGTCTAGATATTATTGTTGCATTCTCATTTCAAAAACGTTTGCAAGGTTAGTACAGCAATTGCTGCTTTATGGTAACCCTCAACCATTTTCTGAGAGAATAATTCCTCATATTTTGTGCACTTTGTACACCGCTTATCTCTCTGGTACTTTATTCTGCTGCCTTGGGTGCTTACACATGGGAACAGTCAAGCTCTAAGCTAAGCAAAGTGACAGCCAGAAGAATTACAGCTACAGAACAGCACCAGGGATAGGATATACAACTGCGGCTAGGATTTCACCATTCTTCAGAGAACAGTATTACTTTGCAATGTTTACATTATCTTTCATAAGAATATCTCCAAATATTTTTTTCAAATATTTTAACTTCAGCTTTCAAATATTTTCCTATAAAAACACAAAAAGTGTTAGTCACTCTATGAAAATAGGAAAGGATCCAGAATCGTCTAGGTTCAGCTTATTTCCCTTGGACCTTGTCATGCATTTCCCTGATAAAATAAGGAAACTTGTCCACATGTAGGGTCTCACAGACTTTGATCAAGTCAACTCTGACCTTCCCTCCATTAAAGTAAGTATCGACCGAGATTATTCAGCTTCTTGTAGGCCATCACAGAAGAATCCCTCAATATAGTGCCTTACACATGTAAAATGACATTCACAGTTCCGCAAAAGCAGCCATGAGTTGAATAACCCTATAGTGCTTCTTAGGCAGTGAAAGTATTTGAGCCATTGAAAGTGCACAGGCTTACAAGAAGCACGTTTAATTACTTTAATAACTAGCCTGTTTCTCCAACTAAAGCATGTATAGCTGTAGGCAAGACAGAAGATAATGGTACAGTATGGAGGCAAACGCTTCCTACCTGACATGAGTCACCTGCGTACTCCGGAGGGCAGGAGCATGTCTCCACACTGTATGCAACGCTGCCGCTTCCTGCGCTGGTGGCTTCTTCCAGCCCAACCTCACCAAGGGTTAATCGCTGAGTCTCCGTGAAGTAAAGGCCTCTGATGTGTAAGCCGTCTAGTCTAGACAGGATTATCATCAGTTCTTCTCTGGATACAAGGTTATTGCTGCTGGCGTGCCTGAAGTTTCCCTGCACGTTAAGGGTACAAAATGAGCACAGCCCGGCTGCTTCTTAAAAAGAGTATCTGCAAAGAAGACAGGATGACAGAAAAAGGGAAAAAAAACCCCATGGAACAGAGCCCTGTAGTGCCAATTGGTGTGGGGTGAAACAGAGGTCAGGAAAATAAATATAATGAATGTAAACACAGGATAGGTGGAAAAAGGAATAATGAGCATCAAAAGGGATGTACCCTTTACTTTGCAAGGTACATATGGCTTTGAGGTATCGAAAAGTGAAGAAGCATATAGGTTCTTCTTCAGTCATCCAAATTTCTTTGAGGTATTGCCCACCAAACCATAATAGGATGGAGGAAAATGCTTTTATTTTTAAGAGTAAGCAAAGTCCTAGAAATCCAATCTTTGAGGGCTGCCTTCACATGCTTTCTTGCTGCTAATAGACACAGCATTACTGAAAATGGAATCTGGCTTGAAGAAACATCTATTTTGCCTGTATATGAGACAGAAATAAATAACCCAGTTTGACCCTCTGAGCACAGATTTAAGGTAGGAATAATCCCTGCTAAGTTCAGCTGCCTGAATGTTGGACACCCATTCTAAACTAGGTAGCTAGACACCAAGGAAAACAGGTAACAGTTCATTCCACCCCTATTAAGTACAGTCTGGGGCTGCGATGAATCATCTTCCATTGTGATTCAGTATTACTCCACTGGCCCTGGAGGAAGTGCTAAGGGCTAAATTGGACAAGATGCCTACCTTAGAGGTGCTAAAATTAGGTGGCATGAACCAGAACCTAGGCTCAATGTGGCAGTAAAGAGAGAGAAAAAATGTTTATATTTAAGGTCTACAGTATCTAAGTTTATATTCATTAACATTATCAAGTATTTGGTATTTCTGCACATATTACCTGCGTATTTCTTATGTGCCACTGGGAAGAAAAGGGAAGGTCATTCCATTTTCATTTCTTACCTCAACTAGCTGCACACGGCCATAATATTGACGGTCAGGCAGTGGGTTGTTGGGATCCATATAAACAACTTTCATTTGCTGGCCCTATGTGAGAATGAGGATATAACATTGCCATTTCACTACTTTTTATGGTAAAGTGTTCAGATGCAAAAAAATTTGGTGAAGCACATTAATTCTGTTCTTTGGGGGATAAAAACTAAGTAATACTAGGAAAACTGTATGTGATTTTGTTAGCAAAGTGGTATAGCAAGCCCTGTGTTCTAGTGTCAGCAGGGTTTTCACTGCTTTTGCCTATTAACAACCTTGCTTTCAAATAAAACGCCAAGAAACTTAAATTAATGCTGACCAATTTTCACAGGAACTAGTTATTATTTTTGTGTAAAAATGTTTTTGCTTTTTCAAAGACTCTCCTTTGCATCCTGGTGCACAAACAACTTTGGATACTACTGTAGTACTTTGAGGCATGTTTCTCAGTAAGAATCCTAGAATACTGAATTAGTATTTCTGATGGCCTGAAGAAACAAAACCACCCACTTGGGAATTTCAACAAACAGTAAAAGATTTCAATTTTGGCTCTAAAGTGGTTAAATTAAAAAACCGTTAACCTAAAATGCATTTTTACTTTAGTCCCTTGAAGCCTTATAATTATACTTAATTTTATGCTGAAAAAAATTTTCACAGAAAATGAGATTAAGCACACATTGAATCCAGGGCATAGTTTGCAGAGTCGAGGCTATACTTGTTGACAAGTGTGCAAGGCATTAATTAATTTTTTTTCACAGGTGCATTTTATAGAGAAAATTCTGTTTTATGTTTTTATTTGCTCTCAAGTCAGTTATGCTTAATAATATGTTACTTTGGCAACAGAGATAGGTGTGATGATGGCTTTGAGCAAAATGCAGTAAAACCACTTTTATAGAAATGCAGCAAGTTGCTATAAAAGTTAAGTACACTATAGGAGCAAAATTTGTCATAGTTGTCAGGTAACAGAAAAAAATCATGGTATTGTTATTGCTTGGAAGAAAAAAAAAATATTTCAAAACTTACTGTTAGTTGTATATCAGGTCTCTTATCCAGAAGAACCATGCCCTCGCTAGGTAAGCCAAAAGATTTCACTTGGTAACTTAGGAAGCCACCGTATGAAGAAAGCTATAACAAAATGCACAAGACCAGAGATACTTTACTGCACTATTGCTTGATATTCATATAACTTTGTATTCAAGTTTACCCCATTTTCCAGCATTGTAAAGAATGTATTTACTCTTTGTTCTTTAGTCCAAATATGAAAACATGTGTTGCTTGGAAGAAATTACTTTTCATTTTGTTTACTTTGTGTATCTGACATCACTTTTTGTGCAGTACCTGTTACTGTTCTCTGGAAGGCTACCTGCACTGGTAGCCATACCTAAGATCACACCATCTGTGGTCATGGAGAAATCACGTGTTCACATGAACAATGTTCTTCCCCAGACTCTACAGAACAGATTTGGCTCATCAAGCGCAGATGTCAGACTGACAAGGAAAGTGCTAGTGAACCCCATGAACAGCCATGGATAAAAAGGAGAAGTCAGACTAAGCACGTTTAAAGGTGGCTTTCATAGGCGAGCGTTTTCGAACCTTACTACAAACGTGAATCTATCAGGAAATCTTTGCTCCACTTTCTGGAGGACAGGACTTCTACTGATATCAGCTGGTATCAGCTCTGTTGTAAACAGACCGTTGCTGTAGGCTGAGTGTAAGAAACCACACTCCTTTTGGCTCCACTATAGGTGACCACAGGCGGCCTCAAACCCAGCCAAACACATACGCTGCTGCCCAAAACAAAGACTTAGGCAAGTATGTTTGAATCATCTGACAAACAACTTCCCTGGGTTGTGTATGAGTGAGTCAGTTCAAAATATACAGAGAGGAAAAGAAGCTCCAGGCACAGCCTAGACAGTTTTTGTTCCAAGAAGAGCCGAGAAGGAAGGTTTGTGGGTACTACTTTGCCACAGATACACTACTTTGTTTTGCACCTCTTGCTGTTTGCCTGTATAGCTTATGCTTGGTTCTGACATGGAAGGAAGAACTGCTTTGTCAGGTTTTGGCGTTCTGCAGGTAAGCACCAGCCTTCGCTCTACCCCTTTCCATATACTTTGACGAATTACAAACAAAACACAGACATCTCAGTACTAAATTTGTTCCTTGGACACAGGGCCGTAATTAGCGCTGTTATCTTCAGCCAACTGCATTTTCAAAAGCATCATTTGGAACATTGGCTGTATTTTACCAACACAATCAAAACAACCTTGTATAAATTATTTTTTTTAAAAACATAAGACAATGCAAATTAGAGCTAATTTCCTGTTTAACACACATTTTAGGACTGCACCATATGACAGGCTGTTATGTTACTGTTTTTTAATTTTTTTTTTTTTAACAGAAAAATACTGATGTTATAAACTACCCTCTGTATTCTATATGTACAGTATTTATTTTCTAACATTAAGAATGGTCTATTAAATAGAATGTTAAAATACACAGGAGCAGAAAATGGGGACAATGTCATCTGAATTTCTCAATGACTGTTGGTTTCTGCACTGCTATAGATTTTGTATTTTATTTCCTTTTAACTTTGTAAACAAAAGATAGGAGAGAGGAAAGGAAATATGCTCTGCTAAATATTAATGTTCCAGTGGAACTAGTTAAAAGGTTTAAAATAATGGAAACCAGTATTTATAGCCTTATCATGATGAAAAATGTCTGGAGTGATCTTGTTCACATTTTCTGAAAGAGGTGCTATCACCAAAACCGACATTTTCAGAATACAATAAAGTAAATCATTGGTAAATTTATGAGTCTGTAAAACTAAGCATCAAGATACCATTTTTGGGGGGACTTTCACTACTGCAGTATAAATACACACTAAAATATACATGTACACACAGTCTATGGTAAAAGCAGGTCCAAAAATAGAACTATTTTGTTTACAGTGTTGTCATTGTAAATAAAAGCAAGTCACGGCATGCCTAGTTAGATACTGTGACATGCAACATAAAACTCATAGCACTGTTCTTAATAGCTGTGTTTAAAAAGGGTTATTGCCTGCTTTATATTTTGTTATGGGAACAACAAAAGTCCTTCTGGTTTAACACTATAGTAGATAAAGTATGCTTTATCATGAAATTTCTTTGAAAAATAATTTGTAGACATTGAAACAAGAACCTCTGTAACATTAACAAAAAGCACCCTAACTAAACGTGTTGTTCAACTGAAAGATATTTACCTGTGAGCATAGGAGAGCAGGGTGAAAAATACTGCTCTAGTCCTTAAAATGGGGATTAAGAGGAACTGCAAAAATTGTACCATCTTTAACGGTCTTGTGTCTATCCCATTTGTTTTCACTTGCGTGACAGCAGGATTGCACATGAAAAGCCTGTGTGCCCTACAACTGGCTAGCAACTATCGACACTGTCAGAGTTGCAAACAGGGGTAACGTGGGGCTCTGGGCCTGCAAGGCACCCCTGGCAAAGTCCCCCTGCTCAGTGTAATCCCCAGGCTGGAACGCCGATAGGTGTTACCCGTGAGCAAGGGACTGCCCCCATGCACGAGCAGAAAGAGCAGGCAAGCAGTTCAAAGAATACAAAGGTTAGAAAACCTGGTGTTGCTCTTCCCAAGCAACATATCGAAAGCAAAAGGTTGGGTTTTTTGTGTGCCACTGAGCACATAATCACCTTTTATTCTTTTGGAAATCTGCCCAGGAGGTATTCTAGGGAGTCTAAAGGATATTCAGGCACATTGGCAAGCTCTGCGTGTTCTGGGTTTCAGAAAAGCAGCTGAAGGTACCAGCTCCCTGAACCACAGCTCCTGACCATGCTACTCACATAAAGACCTCCCCGGCACCCCGCAAGATGATTAATTCTGTATTATTGGTTATAATTTTAACATTGTACTCAAAAGTCAAATGCTGTGATTCCTAGCACGTCAGAGAAGAGAGATACGAATCTCGTGAGGGGAGAGACATGTATCTATCTAAGAAAAACAAGGAGACTGTTTATCAACGATGCTGGCAAAAAATGAATACGTGTTACTACAACAGATGAGCTAGGCGTCATTTACCTTCTCTCCCAGGTAAGATGGCGGTGCTTTCCAGTACAAACTATGCACTGAAGCAGGCAATTCTTGAACATCAGCCACTACACTATTACTGACTGGGTTGAAAGTGACTGGAATGTCAATATTTTCATCCACTGCCTCCAAGCGCCAGTTCCTCATGTCCACAAACTAATGAAAATACATAAAGGAAATAAAAGCTTGTTTAATCAGACTTTACCAGCACCAAGTAATGAGGAGAAATTGTTTAGCCTCTGTAATTCCCCAAGCATGAAATTCAACCCCTTCAGAGCCAGCCTAAAATCTTTGCCCAATGGAGGTTGCAAGGACCTCAAAAGAGAGTGTAAGAGTCTATGTCTAAGCCTAAAGTCCTCATCCATCATTCTAGGGCTCTGCTTCTCTCTTTTCTTTCTCTTGCGTTGTTTCAGGCAGTTGTTCCTTCTTTTTCAGTCTTCAGCCATCTTACCATTCAATTATGCTACTAAAAATCTATCTTCTCCTTCTTTTCTCACCCTTGATGTTATATCTTTTTTTATAGGGAGGGAAGAAAGACAATTTTTACAACCTCTGTGGAATCTGTCACGCATTTCTTGGGTTTTAAAATGCACCTGTGATACAGACATGTAAAATGACACGTGCTTATCAAAGCATCTCAAAGGAGACCGTTGACTTTAATGATGAACTAGTGTCTGAAGATAAAGCAAGAGAAGGCCTGCTCAACCTCAGCCCAACTCGCAATTTGTTGAAACGCCTGAATTTGTTTTCACACCTGAAAACAGCCATTTCTGCTGAAAGGCACTTTCAGACCACCTAGGTCTTAACAAGGCTGCACTAAATCTGCATGATTGCTTGCAGCATATTTCTCATCCTCAGAAACTATTAAAATATATTTCCAATTTTGGAAGAAATCTGACATGTCCTTAATGGAATAAATGCAGGTTCATGACAGCAAAGAAAAAAACTATTGAATAGACCTTGGTTCTACGACGATTTGTGCTGCGACAGTTGCTGGTTGCCCCAAAACAAAAGCAAGAAGTGCATCCCTTGGGATTAGAAGGGTCCAGATAAAAGGATCCTGGTCGGCAAATATCACATTCTGCACCTCCAACATTCTCCTGTTAAGGCATAGTTGAAAGAAATCTCAGAGTTTTCCTTTTGGTTTTGGTGAGGCCCCCAAAACCTCCTGCACATAAAACAAATCTTCTGAAAGAATATTTGTTTAAATGTATGGAAACATGAATGAAAATATGTGATTCTGGACACACCATATTCCAAATGCAAATAAAACTGAATTCTTGGAGACTATCTTAGTTACGAGCTGTCTTTCCAGTTTATAAAGTGAACCACTGAGTAATAAATATTAGTCAGAGACAGCTGGTAACTTCCCTGCCAAAACCCTCCTGCTGGCTTTTCCAAACCTACAATACAAAAGGTCACTTGTGAAAGTTCACATTTATCACATTTAATTATGGAGATCAGAACAAAAGAAGATTTCCTGGATATAATGATGTGGTGAAATGTCAACTGACATAATATGGCTAAAAAAAGCATGGGACCTGGTTAACATCCAAAAGTCGAGATGCAGATGCATAAAGCGGATCTGTGCAGGGTACAGACTGCTTCAGTGAATCAATGGGCACCTACTCTGTAGCACTGTAACACCCTGCAAAGCCTAAGATGCCTGTAAAACCGACAGATATTGAAAATGGCATTTAACTGCTACCATGATAATCTGTGCACATACTGCAAGGTGTGATGGTTTTGTACAGCTGCATTTAATTCTTACTGAAAACTTAATGATAAACTCACTTCATTCACCCCATTAAATACGAAATAGTCACTGATGTGCAAACGATGATTGTGAATGCAGAAGTAATTTGATTTATCTGACCTTACAGAGACAAATTCCTGTCTGGGGATCGCAAACATCTGGTTCTGTTCCATCTCTGTTACAGTTACACGGCACGCAGTTTGGGAAACCGTAAGTACCGGGAGCACACTGATCACACTGCCGTCCTTTTATTCCTGGTTTGCATCTTTATCAACAAACAAACACAGAGGAGGGAGTCAATAGGGGAGGCAGGAATGGAGTGAGGAACGGGAGATTAAAACAAAAGGCAGGTGGATCTTTGAAGTGATTGCATGGCTATGACACAACTTTGTGACTTCCATGGAGAAACAGGAGCAGGTTAGTATTGTTCTCAGATTCGAATGGCGAGATGTTTTATATGGCCATGGAAGTGATTAGGAATGGATTTGATTTTGAAGGACATAAATGCTCACAATGGAATTAAACTTCTGCAGCTATTCAGTGCTTGCAGTGCAGAACTACTCTCTCTATGCACCAAAGTGAAACATGGATTTTGTACACAGGTAAGCGGAGCTGGAAGAAGATTTATAGCTGGAGGATGTGACTGGGCATTTCTCAAGGCACTCACCTGCTAACAAAAAGGTGGAGAATCCCAGGCATATGAATAATTATGGGGGCTTCAACCTGCCACAAGGCTTAGCTTAGTTTACAACTGTTCATACAGGATAAAATCCAGTTTGCTCACAGTGAAGGCTGAATGCCTTGGATTTACTTAGGTGAAGCACAGAAGATGAAAAAAACAACACCAAACTATGAATAAGGCTTGAGATAAGAGAGAACATCTTTCAGCGGCAGCAGCTGCTTCATCCTACCTTTACAACAAACTTGCACAGACTGATAAAACTAGTGAAAATGTAGATCTGATGATCCCTCTTGCTTCTGTCTACGCTGGCAATGTCTGTACCAGCCCAAAGGAGGTTTCAGGACAGTAAAGATCCATTGATAAAGAATGTCTGCCACCACCACCATCCACATCTTTACATTTTAGTTGTGATAAGATAATTTTAAAGTCTCAGCAAGTTGGTGGAGCCTCCTTTGGCTTTCAGCACTGAATTTATATGTGCACTAACACTACAAATTTAATGGAAATAAAGAGTTAAATTATGCAGACAAGGTAGACTGCACTTCATGAAAGCAATTACTCAATTCACCAAACAATGGGCGAGGTTTCTCAGAGTCTCTCTGAATGCATTACCTGCCCCCCCCCCCCCCCCCCCCAAAAAAATAACAGGAGCTGGATGGGACTTTGAACTTCATGTAATCCACAGAGGGAAAGGTATTAATCAGAATGTAGTAGTTAGCTATATACTTCAGTAAGCAGTCCAAAAGTATTTGCTAAATGTCAAGTTTTGCTTCAGAATTTTTTACCAATAAGCTGTCGTCAATATTACCAATTAGGCTGCACATGAAAAATATCACCATTATAATCAGGCAATACAGCTTCTCACTGAAATGGAAAAATCTGACTGTTTCTGCAAAAATCATCCTCAGTTTTACTCGAGTAGAAATATCCTAAGCCCTTTCTTTGAAGTTTTAGGTTTTAGTTGACTGAAATATTTATTTTATTTATTTTTGCATAGTATTTATTTTTATTTTATTTTGTATTGTATGGGGAAAATGAAAGCAGAGACTAATGAGACTGAGAGTGCATCAGGAGATACAGAATATGCTACACTTTAACGCTGAACCCCAACTTCCACATATGAAAATTCTTGTTTTGCCCTTGGGATAAGACAATTACTCACTTCATATGAAAAGGACAGACTTAGGAAAATAATTTAAATTCAGGAAATAATATGAGTATTCTCTGAAAATGAGTATTCTCTGTCGTATTTACAGGATTAATGGCAGAGCAGGAAGGATCGTATTTCTCTTCGTTAGGACCCTGCAAAAACACAGCCAAACCAACCAAACTGAACTAATCCTGGCCTTACACAACCTACTGGCTATCAAGTATTTGCACTTGCTATTTAAGGACTCAGCCTCCCCAAGGAAATAACAGAAATGTTCAACTATACTAATACTCACAGCATCTGAATTTTAAGATAATTCCCTAGGAATGTGGCTGTATGTTATACATATTTTAGAGAATATAAATAAGAGAATAAAACTAAAGAATTTATTTTTATTTCAGTACACTGAGTTATGGAAAAATAAGCATATGTCGTACAGAAAGCATAATTTTCAGGGCAGTTATCACCTATGGCTCCATCTGAACAGTATTTTCCAAACAGACAGTACCTATCATCAAAGTTTCTCAAAACTCATTGCAAACATTCAAGCTTTACAGTACTTAAAAACACCACTGGACTGAAACCCAGACATCAGACTGTGGAAAGTCAACTGCAGATTTTTAAGAATTTGGGAGATAATGTACACCATTACAAATGATGTACATGTCCAGAAGTCAGAAGCTGATCTGAGGTCCTCTATGAGATGGACAGAGATTTGGGGACTTACCATGCATGACATGGCATGTCACTGGCAAACAGAATGCAAGCCCAGGAATCCCAAATCCCACCACTAGTTACCTGCACAAACCATGATTCCACTAAAACATTGCGGGTATCCCTCAAACAGCCGAGTCCTCGCTATCACCAAGCACTGCTTAAATCCCTATTCATCATCATCAAAGTCTCCCACATCCCCTCCAAATACCTGAAAAGAAGGGTGAAGCAAACCACTCATGCATCGTTTATAATACACATAACCCAAACTTACTTGCATTGCCCATTGTTTTTTTCGCATTCTGGGCTTGCCACATTAACGACTCCTTTTTCTGAACAGTTGCAGCTCTCGCAGCCAGCAAGAGGGTGATAGCTGAAGTAATGTTTCTCGCACAATTCACACTTTGGTTTCACAGTTCGCGGAGGGCAAATGCATTTACCAGTCACGTCGTCACAAAGACGCTGCCCACAGTTGCATACTAGGTCAAAGAAAATGTTCTGCAAATTAATCACATCTCAACTCACAATGATCAACTCTTATCGAACTGGTGTATGAAACAAATACACACAACCTGTATGTATAAAGGACATGATTCTTTTCTCTCTTTCACTAGTTTTAAGCTCAGCTGGCTTGTTTGACTTCAACTATCACAATGATGTGAGACAGAGACAAACCAAGGTCATGGAAACAAACTATGTGACCGTAATGGTAGTTTCAAAGAATAGCTTGAGACCTTGGCCATTTTCCTCAGACTGGTTGCTTAACTTCACCACAGGCATTATTATCACTTCCCAAAACCACCAAGCATTAACAATGAATAGTTTTGGTGTTAAGGGCACCACTTCTACAAAGTAACGTTAATAAACGTGTAATATCTGGGAAAGCAGCTGAAGACTGTTGGTGTAATCTATAAATCTGTTGATGTTATTAAGAATAACATCAGAAAAAGAGGAATTAGGAATGCTGACTCCGATTATGTATGGAAAATCTTGAAGGTATGAACTGGAATACAACAGTAATAACTTAGAAACGATTAGCAGTCAGTGCAGAAAAATCCATTTGACTGAAAGAGTGGCAATACGGATTTTAACCAGTAAAACTGTATGCCTACCACACCTGATCAGACAACACATGTGAAGGCACACTCCATTGTGAACTAGGTGTACTTAAAGGGAATGGGGTTACTTCTGTGTTCTAATGAAAGCTATGCTATGCTAAATCTAAGATGGCTCAACCGGCCTCTCATAGGATCAAGCCCTGTAAAGAAACATGAAGCTGTGGTACCTATGCAGTAAAATCAGAGAATTAAATAAAAGGTCGGGTCAGGTGCTGAGTAAGTCCGAGCATGTACTTACACTTGCAGAATGGAAATCCATAGTAGCCAGTTTGGCATCGGCTGCACTGACGACCGATGACATGAGGTCTGCAAATACACTGTCCTCCCAGGGGGCTGCAAGTAGGGCTCGTGGCACCTGCGCTATGGCAATTACATGGCAGGGCTCCGTTGTTGTAGAAAGCCACTAATGACCTTACAGAGTCCTTACAGAAGGCCGATGATCCTTCCGGGCTATTTAAATTGAAATATAAATCATGTAAGTACCGGCACTTGGGAATTGTTATGAGCATGCTTTGCAGTGGTTCGGTAAATTAGGGTCCTGTCTTTGTTCTTTGACATAAGAATGGCATCAGTACACATGCAAGGATAGACTTTACTTAAATTAGTGGTGAATGGCTTTGAACATGCAAGAGGTTTTTTTTCAAAGAAAGTGCGTATATTAGTCATATCAGTTCAGACATGCCAAGCAAAATACCAAATACCAAAGATGGAAATACCAAAGACAGAAAGATGACATAGATTTTCCTCTTTTGTACTGTGAGCAGTAAAGCTCTTCCTTTACATTTCATTTACAATAGAAAGTAATGGAAAAATGACTCATAGAAATTTAATGGGCCAGCATAAGCCATGAAAAGTATTTTAATGTAGCACAATGATAGGGATTTTATACATATGTCTTTAATACAGACTGAAAATAATATTAATTCCCAGCTTGTTGTCAAATGTTCAGTTTTTTAGAAAGCGATGCTTACTCAATATAAAAACTGTTTCCTCCACATTGGCTGATAAAATCAAATGACTTGTCCACTGTCTTTTTGTCAAGAATTTTGTAACTGTAGGTGTCTGCTGGAACAACTAAGACATTTTCCTTAAAACAACAAAAAAGCTAAATTGTACATTTCAGAGAAAAGCAAAAGAGGCATCTATATATTTAAATGTTGCTTCACTATGCATTCTGGATTTTCTCAAAACCTGTAACATTTTAAGTGAAAAAAAAAAAGGAAAATATACTTATCTTCCCCCCAGAGCTGTGATGCCACACGCAGTGTACAATAAAAACAGTGTATGGTATCTTAAAAATTTAAAATAAAACAGAAGCAGTGCACAAGATCCTAAAAATCTGAAACACAACATTAAAAAACAAATTCTTTCTTTTTGGATTTCATCTTTGCATCTATCTCTAAATGAATGGTGAAACTGAGAATAACATTTCCAAGTACATTTATGTAATAAACGTACCAGAACCAGCATTCTTCCATCAGGTATCATCACTGTAACAGAGACCTCGTGTTCAGAAACGTCAAGCTCAATTCGGTTTTCTGCAATCACCTGATCCCGACAGCCAGAGGTATGAGGGCAGAATGAAGCATTGAAGGAACCTAGAAGAAAAAACGTAATGCCAAAAAATGCTCCATGTGCCAAAATGCTGAGAAAGGAAAGTGGTTAGATCAAATTCAGATGCTTACCTGACCACACACGTCCTGCATCCACACGCACTCGCACGGGGAACATAGGGTGTGCTGGCTGATAAAAATGTACCACAAATACGTATCTGCCCAAGCGGGGCACTCTGCCGCTCAAGGTAATCTGGTTCTGCAGAAACAAGAACAGCTCTGATAGTGTATTTGTTTCGTGAGATATTCTTGTGTTTATGAGCTGTGCTCTGTGCCACCTACCTGCAATGAAAGGGAGGGGGCTTAGCATCTCTCAGGAAGTTAACAGGAAGAGTATGGCATTACAACTGCATGCTCCTACCCGTTCGCACGCCAAGCATATCTAATGCTCTTCTGCAGTCTGTGAGACTACTGCAGAAGTCTCACAGTTTACTAAGAGTTTATTAAGAAGCTGGCATTTTTGTTTCTCTTTCTGTCTATTATCTTGGTGGTTTACTCACTTTGCAACATTTTGATCACATCACATCATTCAGTTTTGATTCTCTTAAAGTGCTTCATGTATTCAACTTTACTAAGAACATACTTTGAGACTTAGGAAACAGTATTTTCAAAATATGAGATACCTGTAACGGTGTCAAGATGACTCCATTAACTGAGTCAGAAGGTAAGGGGGCACTCAGTGGATCATAGAGTATATTCCTCCGTACTTCAGAAATTTTCCCATCCTTGAATGCATCCAAAACCAAAGCCTCCGGTGGAGTTTCATACACTGAGGAAATGCATGTTGCACTAAACACAGAATTATATTAATTACTCTTGGAGCCAGGAGAATTCCTTAGGCATCATGAAAGAAAAAGCTGACAACTCACAAAAGTTAATGTATTAGAATGCAGTAAAATTAATAATGCAATAGTTACCACCGTTACTCTTTGGATTCTATGTAAATGATCAGAAAGTAAATGAAAACAAGAGGTGCAGATTTAACTCACAAAGGGGGAAAATGTACATTAACTGATTTTATTCACTCAAAATTTCAATAACCTGATGAGCGTCAATGGAAAGAGTTTGCTAAGGAAGATGAAACCTAAGGGAACCAATAGTGTTAAAAAAACCCCAGTTAAATACATTTTAGTGAATCCAATTAGTTACACTGACCAGAATCTGTACTAATATTGAATTCTCAGTTCTACAAATATTTATGTAGGTGTATCCTTTAAACATGCATGTTTTCCCACTGAAGTCAATGGGACTACTTAAGTACTTAGAAGTTAAGTATACACTCAAATATTTGTAGAATTGGAGCCAAAATAAGTAACAGTGCTCCTTGAAAGCATCCTTATTCATTCACTGCTGTGTTTAACTATTTCTTCCTCGGTATATTTAATTCTGAAGAACTTGATTGAGAGAAGTATTTTCCAAGACTGCAGGAGAAAATGTTTTGGGGGGTTTCCTGCTAGTATTTGTTCACTTCTCGTAAGTACTCAACAGACAATGATTAATCTTTGCTCAAGACAGGCCCAGAACTGGAATGGCAAGTGTGTTTCAGGGCCAGATGTATTTGCCAGGCCTGTGTGGGAAATCACGTGCAGCATCCTGTATAATACTGTTAAACTAAGCCAACACTCTGCATCTTTCAACTTGGTGAATACCAAACACTATCAGGAAAGCAAAAATGCTGCCAGATAATGGTCGTAATAACAGAACATAAACATAGAGTAAACTATGCAAATATAACAAGAGATTAAAAAAAAACACAACACAAAACCAAAGTAAAAGGTGCAAATTTCTACATTAGCTTTATTTTAAATCATGTTTTTCACCCAGCCTCTTTCCCCCATTTTAGTCAGAATAGAAATGTGCAGGAATGCGAGGACAAGTATCTTCAGTCTTAGAAAGCTACTCTCAATTGTAACACTCTGAGCAGGAGAATTAAAGCTGCGATTCAATGCTATGCATGCTTGGAAGACAAATACAGTCACATGCTTTTATCCAATTTACTATCCAGATTTTTCTGCTTGCTATTTCAATTCAACCATTATATTAGAAGCTACCGTCTGGAATACTAGTAGACCTAGTCACCAACGCTTTCTGCCTCTGAAGTCCTGCAAATGACATTTACTTTTACTTTGAGGCCCTTCCTATTGCCAGATCAGTAGGAAGAAAGCCTTAAGAGTAGCATCACGAGGGACATCCTGGGGAGTGCAACAGGAACTGAACTGTTGGGCTCCCTAATTTTGAAGCTGCAGTGATAGTTCCTCTCTGGTCCAAAGAATAAAACATATGGAGAGGGGAAGACCTTCAACAGGATGGAGAAAGTGCTCTGCAGAACCCCAGACTGACCACTTGGGAAGTGAAAGATAAGGTTCAGATCTTTGCAGCAAGAGAAGAGCCATCAACCTGGGTCAACCAAGCTGCATACGAGTGCTCTGACTACTGGTCCTATACAAGTATAATGGAGGAGAAGGATCACTTGGCATTGCTGTGCAGGGTGAATGCTGAGGGCACACCTACCATACGGGCCCCACGATGAGATGAACAAGGGGATGGCTTGTTTGTGAAGCAGGGATTTACATGTTGAGTTGTTTGCTGCTGCCAAGTTGAGCTAGTGGATTTGTGCCTGAAAGGGCAGTCACATCCCCTATCTAATGACAAATTAAAGCCATTTTGGAACAGCTGAAGCAGTAATGTGCAGAATGAAACCCCAGACAGAGGCGTAAGCTTTTCAGGCTACTGAAGTAGCAATGTTTCTCCAGCTTGGACACCTATCATACTGGACGGCACGTGAAAGATGCGTGTTTTCTAACGCATCAGCACTCCGTAGTTCAGACGGGCCAGGAAGAGGCTAGTATTAACAAAATCCTGGGCAAAGACTGTCTAGATTAACAGTAACACTTCAGCTTTTTTACAAATACTACTTGGCAAAAGTGGCCTACAAATCACCTGTGAGTCACTGAGCAAAGCTTCATTCAAAAGAATTAAAATGCCATTTCGTCTGCCTTTCAAGGTCTATTTCAGAAAATATGAGGGATAAAAACGAGCAAGTTACCTTCCATCACGGGTACTATTGTAAGCAGCTATGCACTGTACTTTAGGATCCACGTATTCTGGAGAAAATTCTTCGGCTGAAATAATACAAACCTTGTGCTGAAAAATAAGCACAAAGCACAATTAACAATTAATATCGTAAGTAACAGGGCCAGGCCTGAAGGGGAAGGATGGAGCCTAATTTTAGCATAGGGAGACCTGAGCCCAAAGCCATGTTCTGTCACGGACTACCCACAAGATTTTGGATTCCTTTACCTGCCTGCACCTGAATGCCTCAGTGTTGAATAGCATTTTTCTGTCCTCAGGGGAATGTTAGCTGTTGAGAAGTTAAATAAATTAAAACGTAAGTATACGTGTGGCAATGAGAATGACATAAGACCAGCTTGTGGGGTCAGAAGCCAGCCAAGGAGTGTACAGAGGTGGGAGGGAAAAGCCCTCATCTGTGGTGTTAGAGACTTCTGGACCCTGGGGGAATTCCTAGACCTTCTGAAATGCAGGCATGAATACTTGCTCACACGAAGTCCTTAGGAATGAGTCTCAGTGACACCAGGATTTCTCTCAGTGGATTCAGAACTCATTTTAAAAGCTGATGAGACCTCCTATGGTTTTTTTTTTATACTAAAACTAGACATGAGCAAATGAAGCTGTGGTAGTCCTGCTGTAGCCATGGTGGTGAAGACTTAAGGCAAGGCTTGTAGGTAGACACAACAGTTTGCACAAATAAAATATATTATCCACACTTACAAAATACATAAATGCAGGTTACAAAATTTGTGCATGAACTACTTGAAAAGGAGATTAAAACGCCTGATAAGCAGTAAGATAACTAGCACTACATACTAATGTAGATAAAAATTGCATTGGGAGAATTCATTAATATGCAAAGTGATTCGGTTCAGAAGCAGGTCCTAAGGGAGCTGAGCTCGTGTTTTAGCAGTAGCGAGCAGGTACTAGAAACCCTTTATAAGCTAGAAGGCAGGGTGCTAAAAGTCCCTCTCCTGGGCAGCAAACTTTGTGCCTATCCTGCATATAACGATCCACAGGACTCCAGCCCATTGCAGCAGAACAAGGGTAGACTCTGAAGCTCTGAACTGCACTTTATGAGCGGCTAAAACATCAGTGAGAAATATGGTCTGGGTTTAGACAGCTTGTATGCATCAGTGTGAGATAAAGACTATCAATATATAAAGACTATCAATTTATATCAATAACATATTCAGAGAATGAAAACTAGAATTTAGAAATAAAAATACAGAGATTCTTAGCACAAGAGGCTTCCAGATGTGGAGATACAGACTAATAATATCAACGTCTTTTGGATATGGATCTTGTTAGCACAGCAATTGCTGCAGGGAGCTAACAATTTAAATGATATTTGTTCACACTGAACGCTGCCTCATGAAATGAAGAAAGCATGTATCACTTTTTAATCCTAATGGTTCCACAAAACTACTCTATGTTTATATCTGGGTTTTAACTAGATTTTAACCAAATGTGTAACTCGCCTTGTGTTTCTAAAATGGAAAACGCAGAAACAGAAGAAAATTCAAGCTCCAGAAAAATGTATTCCTTGTGTGGCCAAAAGAGGGCAGTGAAGGCTTTCTATTCGAAGTATTTATAAGTTCTATCATTTCTAAAATGCATTTATTACCTGAAATTTTGTAAGAGACCAAAAAATCCCATATGGGTTTTGAGGATTTAAAAAAGTGAAAGGTAAAGGAAAAGAAATATAATGATGAAGTATAAAAGCTACCAGCAGATTTTTCATTTAAAGTTTACATGTAGAAAAGAGAGAGGAACTGAAATAAAGCACAAGAGAGTTGGAAAAACCCTTGCCAAGAAAGGCAAATTTCGGTTTATCTTTGAAACTGACCAAGTTTGACTCAATATTCTCTGAGTATATATAAAGACACATCTACAAGCTTCTAATATACATCCTTTCACACACTACCATAGAGCATGTGAACATAGAGAGAAAAGCATCTCTCTTTACCTACTCAGGGAACAAGTATTACAAAAGGCAAAAGAAAATGAAAACTTACCAGAAGAAAATTAATTGATGGTGCCTTAAGATGTATCTTTGTATCTGCTAGAAGGTCATAGACTGCAATGCGATTCCTATTGTCAACTACAACGCTGCGACAAAGGAAACTGAGAGAGAAAGCAGGATTTAAAATGAGTCTGCTGGCATTGCTATGTGGTTTATGCTGTCGCCCAGCTCAGCTGCCTCAGCTTTTGGCTAGCCTCACCACTGGTGCCTAGCCATCCTGCTGGATCATAAGTAACCTTTGGCCACTGGTGAACATGCAGTATCCTCGCTAGTGAGACGAAGGATGTACCATATACGAAATACTGCTTGTCCTTTGTGGGTTGACCTAGTGAGAGCTCAAACCTCCAGACCTCAGCTCAGATCTCCATTTGAGCTATTGCTTTAAGTAGGATGTGAAAAGACAGGTACACATACCTGCTATCTGCAGATGCTTCCAAGCTGTGTAACATATAACTAATGACATATAACTAATATTCTGTGCCTGGTCCGTGCTCCTCGAGGTGCCAGCACGTACCAGCTGCTGCTTTCCATGACTGCCACTCACCGTTGATGGCGTGGATCAGCAGCTCTCACCCATGCAATGGCAGTTGGGCAAGTCTTGATTTTAGGAAGCTATCTGTACACTGAGATACTCCTCAAGTGAAAAAATATAGGTCTGCCTCTTATGGACTGCTTTCGATTGGCTGTGATCTTTGGTAAAGACAAATACATACTAAAGAGGAAGAGTCTTGCTTAAAGGCTTTGAACTCCGCCTTGTTCAGGGAGCATGACCCCTGCAACTCGCCAAAAGTAGCAACAGTTCCCTTTTGCTAAAGAGAAGTCATCAAATAAGACTCTAATTTCTTTTCTTTCTTCTGCACTTCTGCTCAGCTAGGCCAGCCAGCATGCCATGGGTGAGAAGCTGTAACCACCATAAAACTGCTTCTCTATTTCTCCCCTAGGAATCAGAGAATGAAAAAGTTTCACTCTTGTTTAGAGCGCAGCTCAGAAATAAGGTCAGCTCAGGGCTAAGGACATTTAAGACCAGAGAAATACAGGTCCCTTATTTGTGAGTTGCTGGAAGCTTCCAATGTTTTGTTCTCTTACAATATTTTATTGGGAATAATCAAGCTCATAGAGCTGTAAGAAGGCCTGGCACAAGAGATGCCTGATTCTACAAGTTACTCTTACTTGCATATACCTCACTATGTCATTTCTTGATTTATTTTTTAACAGAAGAGACTTGTAGCTTCCTGCTTAGGAAAGATGATACAGCAATGTCCTTGCAATGTGACTATTAGCCTCATGCAGAATGGCCGCAGAAGGGATTTACTGCATTGCTACATTAAAGTAGCAATGGCTTTCTTTGTCTTTTCATGAGCAAGTTCTTAGTGTATCATATGGACAAACAAGTATATTCAAAATTAGCCCATAAAATGTGTTTGGGAAAAAAAAGCAATAAAACGGAAGATTTCTAGCAAGTAGTTTGGGGCTCAAAGTGTTACATAACAGGCTAAAATAAGAGCTTTCCCCAGCAATAACTTGACAAGGTCACTGCTCCTTATAGCTCTGCTCTGTATCACAAACATGCTGATGAAAATGATTTTCATTTTTCTTACTGGGCAATTTCATCCTGAATATCCCTAAGCCTCCAATCTGCCAAACACTTGGCTCACGGGAAAAAGGGATGCACGTCTGTAGTCCCCTAGCACTGAGTAGGCTCTTCCAAGGGCACAAACATCTGCAGGATCACAATCCTAATTTGAATCATAAGCTGAAATGCTCAAGTGTTAAAGACAATCTCGCTCAGGACAGACAAAATCTCTTGTGCAGAAACACCTGCAGTAACCGCAGTAGTCAACAAGGACAAAGAAGCATTTGGCTGAAGACCTTGCCTACAGCCTAACAGCCAGAGCATGGCTACACTCAGAATTTCAGAGACATTCATACTTCTGCTTCAGCAGATCTTGTTAGAAATGGTGGGAATACTCTTGTAAAACTGTTACTTTTTTATAGCCAAAGCCCTTGGACACGCTTTTAACTAAATAAAAACAGTGCAGGCATCTGCAGTCAACAGTGATGCACTTTCACTGGACTCTGAGATTAATAGTTTATAAGGATTTACGAATGTACATAAGAAAAGTAACCCTTTGTATAGGAAAATAGTTCACTGAAACAGTCACAATATTTAATGAGCTGATTGCACAGAGATAATTAAAAATCTGTACAATACCCACAGAGTCATGTACTTGCTTTTAAATCACCCTAAAATTCAAACAGTCTTTATAGTAAAATGGATTACAATATATAAAAAGTACAATTATATCCTAAATGCTTTTTTATTCATTTAGTGATTACTTAGAAATTCTTACCTGTATTTACAGCTGTATATTCTCACTCTGCCTTCGGTGACTGGTCCAGGGCTATGTATTACTACCTCGGCAGCGTATAACTGATCCTCTTCATTGGCATATTCGAAAACCAGAACATAGCGACCGACTTGAGGAACATTTACGGTCATCTGTAAATTGACCTAGGTCAAGATCATTGAAAAAGAAAAAAGTCGTTAGATTTTTCACTCCCTTTCTTGCAGGAAGCTCCCTTTTCCTGCCCTGCAAGCCAACTGGTCAGCATTAGTCCGGGGCCAATCCTGTAATGTCTCAGCAAAAGACACCCAGCAGAATGGAAGCAATGCTTATAAACATCACTTTGTCCACTAATAAGAGTCAACCAAGTTCAAGAAACAGCTAGCATTATAACAGTTCTAGCAAGGCTGTAAAATAAGCCTAGGAAATGAGCATATTATTATTTCTCTTCTCCCCAGTAGAAAGTACCAGTGAGGAAACTTTAATGATACTAAAAAATTGTCACTGTCATCTCTAAGCTATCTTTAATAACATATAAAAATTGAGTCTACTTCTCCACTGAAAAAATACTTCCGGGAACACAATTCCTACTACAGCAGTGCTGTATATTGGTTCCCTACAAAGAGTGAAAGCATCTTCTCCAGCAAACGGCCAATGCCACTTTCTGAAGCATCAAGTTTTTCTTTTAGTTTACCTGCACAAATTGGCTAACACAATATTTGATGCAAAATACTTCAAAGTAGTTGCATTCTAAGTGCTGTAGTTACAGAGGTTTTTGCTACAGTTGGCTATATAATTAGTTTCAAATTTAAACTGTTTTTTCTCAGTATTTCCTTAGGTTACAAACACCTAAACATGTAAATAATTCTGTCAACAGCCCTCTTGACTTCACTGCAATTATTCATACCAGTAAAGTTTTGCACATGCATCAGTGATGAACCACCACAGGGCCTGTGGCATGTAAGCATTCTTGTTGCACTTGGTATTTTTAAAAACAATATCCAAGCACAGTAATAGAGGGCATAATCATTTTACATGTAATTATCATGTACTTGATAAAATACCTTGTTTTTACCAAACACACTTCTAGTATAACTTTTCATTTCATAAAACATATGTTTCTCTTTCAATGGACCTACAGCAGCGGCATAATTGCTTCTGCTTGTTTTTTAGTAAAGCAAGTATTTTATGTAAGTATAGCTATTTAAGAAAAAAAAAGATTAAATTAGAGTGATGTATGTGCACCATTTCTGCTGACAAATCATTATGCCATTTCTGCTGCAGTTAAACAGTATGCTGAACAAGCCAGTACGCCTAAAGCAGAGGGATTTTTATTTAATAAAATACTTCTGTCAGAGTGAAATGTCCACTCTAGTCACAGTTATAAATCTGCCTACACTGATCCGTTCACACAGTTCTGTATAAAATGCAGAACTTGGCGCAGAGTCTGTTTTAGGATCTGCAAATCCTGAGCTTTGAATCTGCAACCATTTTAGTCCAGTAGGTTTATAGTCAGCAGTGCAGATGGGACTGCAATTAGCAGGCAGGAATCTGACCTCTCTTCCACTGATATGGGTCATCACTGGTTGATCAGGAGTTGGCTGTCGCACAGGTATTCTTCTGTATTCTCCCCCATTTCTGAAATACGCTGCCTCTGAACCAAGGACACAGGAAAATCTGCCCAATGGCAAATGCCGATAGAGCAAGCAGCTTACACAAAAAAAAAAAACCCAAACAAAGCACAGGGTTATTATTGTTTTCAAGTGCAGCAGGATAATAATAAAATAATCCAAGGCACTGGTTTATTCTGTAGCATATATACTGACTGCTCTGTTGAAGCGCGTCCTGAGTAGGTGCAAGGCTCTGTAACTTGTATCTGCAAGATGGATGCTTCGTAGTAATCACTAGGTAACAGCACCATATAATCCTAAGAACAAAGAACACAACAAATGCAAGACCATGCAGAAAATTACAAAAGGAACATCTCTGGACTTTCACAATGAACAAAACCAACCACATAAATAATTTTTACAGAGGATATCTGCAAGACATGTGGATTTTTTTTGTTGTTACATGGGCCATTAACATCAGAATGTGTCTCCCTAACTGTATTTATACCTCCATAGAGATGGGACGAAGGCAGCTGCCCTGTGAGCAGGGACACTCTGAAGCCACTCTCCCACCATGTGTTGTACAAGACAGTGCTTATAAAGGAGCCTCCCCACAGCTTGGTAACACCCAGCCAGCTGGGTGCAGTTTTCACCCATGAGCGCAATCCACATGCACACAACTCAACTGTGCGACTGTGCGTGGCTCCACAAGGGAGGCAGCCGTATCCCAGGTGACTGTATAAAAATATTCCATGTAATCTATTAAGCTGTGCTTCAAAAGCTGGTATAGTTTTTCTCTGCCTTGCCTACTTAAATTAACATATTAGAGCTTATTTATAAAAACTGTTAGAGCTTCTTTATAAAAACTGTTATTGAGAGAACATGCTGGGCTAAGATCATTAATAAATTCCTTTTCAAAGGTATTAGTAACAAAACCAGGCACAATAAGTACTGTCACTTTCAGCAAGAAATATGTTTGCAAGCTCTTTAGTAACATTTTATGTGGTATTCCGTAAATTTAACAGAGCCCCAGGCTTAATCACTAACGACACTGGCTACTTATTAACCCTATACAATATGCATATGAATTTTTGTATGCTGTCTTTGTGATCATACATGTTTAAGGTTTTTCACAAATGATCACCTCAAACAATTTGTCTTTTTATAGCAATTTCTCAGATCTGTTGTCAGAAAATTTTTCAGTTTTTCAGTGAGTGAAAGGAGAGTAATGATGGGAGGATAAAAACATTTAGAAAATGACCTGCTAATCATGCAGCCTATCTTACAATACTTTTCTGAAGAATCTTTGTCAAGAAACTAAGGCCTTGGTCATCTGTGACTGAGCCAAGCTTTAGATACGACATCTGATATGTAAGAATTATGAATTTCTGTGAACATTTATACTAAACCAATTGTGCTGTATGTTAATACTACTTTATCCTTCGAAGGTACAGATTCCGGGTAGACTTAAAGTCTGTAAGCACAAAAAAAATTAGAGCACGTGAAAGTCAGAGAAGAAAAAAAATGAAATAAGAGGCAGAACTGTAAATTTTCATAATGATATTCTGCTGCTGTACTCTTTTCACTAGTGCTGAATTTCAATTGCTTGCAGAGTTCTTCCCGGCAAATAACTTCAGAGAAATACTATCATGACAGCCTTCAAGCACTTGTTTTCCTCAATTGTTTTCTTACCAAGAGGACTTCCTCTGCCATTATACTGACAGTCCACGTGCCTGGAACCAGTGAGAAAGGCTCTGTGGAGCTTTTTCCTGGGATTGTGACAAAAGCTGGCTCCTTGCTGGGTGGGAAGACAAACTCTTTGCCCTGAGCAGTGCCTGCCAGCAAAAAAAAAAAATCAAGTGAAAAAATAAGGGACTGTGTAAAATGTCTCTACTTGCTTAGTGCGCTGGACTGATGATTTCATCCATTAAACTTGGTCTAACAGGAGCTGATCAATGCTTTTCTGTCAGTATGTATTAAGAGTGCATTCGACCACACACAGTAAGCCACAGAGCTATGCAGTCGTTGATGTCTTCCTTCGTATTAGTCTCGAGCAAATTGGCTCAGAAAAGCAGTGCTCTGCCCCTGTAATGGCCAGTTTTGCAATATTCTGAAATGCTCCCTTCTTCACTTTCCCCTTCCATTATTTTCCATTCAACCTGTCTCTGCACTGACTCACAAATATGTTCAGCTGACACAAGGCCTGCTCTCATGCGACTTTCAGCCAAATATTTCAGATACTGGAGGTTCTCAGTAGCACCTAAAATGTTTAGTTACAGATAGTAACTGAAGGTAACTTCTGGGCAGAGATGATGTACAACAGAAACGTAGCTGCGGTATGCTGTATCAAAGAGAAGTGGTGAGGATCAATTGTTATGAATATTAAAGGTTTCCTCTTTGAAGCCCCTGGACACAGACAAAAGATGGTTCCCTGCCTCCCAGGCAATATAAGCCAGACATGACCACAAACTGTTGCCACTCTACTGAGTGATATCTGAGGTCTTCAGTTTTGTCTCCTCAGAATTACTAAAAGGATCTATGACAAAACTGCATTAGCTCTCATCAGTATGCTGAGGTTAGGCATAATAAGAGATAATTCTGCATATAGGCTTGGTATGCCTCTACCATTCAAAGGATATGGAGTACTTATCTTTTTTCAGGGCCCAAAAGGCATCACATGCTGTTGAGGTCTGTAATCAGAGCTAATTTGGTAGATTGGATTCATCATTAAATAAATGTTATTCATGGAATGAAGGCAGAAGCAAGCCACCTTTAAACTGAAATATTAAAGGCAACTAAACAAAAATAAGTGTTGTTATCCCTTCTTGAAAAGCTTCATAAAACACACAGTTCAGAGCTTCCAAGTGCAGAACTGAAAATACTAAGTTTGGCAAACATTTGAATAAACAAATGTTGATTACTACTGTAAGCAGGGGTTTCATGCGAACACAGCCACATCAATTACACGGCAAAATATATTAGGAAAAGCACAAAAGCACCGACACTGTTAGAAGTGATGCATTTTAAGCAACATTACAAATTTGACTTAGGTGCACCTTGAAAAGGCTCGTCTGATCTAACATTCATCTGATCTGTTGCGCCGTTGAGCTGCACCTACCTGTTTCAGGCCGAGACTGACAAGCAGATATGTGACCAGATAATGTTTCACCTCCAGGGTTAATATACCTCAGGATAATGCGAAATAAGTAGAGGTTTGATTTTTCCACATTCAAAGTTATCCTCACTTCATTCTGAAAAATGGAAGTTAATAAACAAAAACAGCCATAAAGTGCTGAATAGAGGAACAGTTAGAAGCCATGCAAGCACCATACTAAAGTCCTACAAGAAAAACGCACATGCAGACAAGTATATACTGGAATGGCAATGCTGGTGTACGACAGAGGAAGACAGGCAAGCCTAGTGAGAAAATTAATTCACTTACAAGTATAATTAGTGCCAAAATGTTTTCCCTCAGCAACTGAGATCTTCCCTTTAGAGCTTTTTGAGCCCAGGCTGACATAGCGGAGGACTAGGTGGAAGAGCTTAGGGGAAGCCACAGTGATAGGCACAACCACCTCTGGCTGGGAAAAATAAAAAGAGAGGGAAAAGGGAGGAAAGGAAAGTATATTATTTGTTACTAGCACCCAGAGAAAGAAAAACCATTTGGCAAAGACAAACTCCGTAACAGAAAAGAAAGGCTCGGGCAGCTTACAAAAGAATATAGAACAAAACCTCCTGTGAAATAAAACTCTTGTTGAGTAATAGCTTATCCAGAAAGACACAGAATGGATGAACTAACACGTGTGTTGATACTGCACCTTGACATATGGACAGTATTTTACTGTTATTCTCCCCTCCCATGCCATAAAGGAGGTATATGGTATCAAGGGCTATCCATATTCCTGGCTTCCCAAGGAACAGGCCAGAATCATTGATCCTAGTCTGAGATCACACACAACGCTCCACAGCATGCAGACGTCTCAGACCACCACTGAAACTTCTTCTGCTCCTCCACCAGGTCCCTCAGTTTCTTACAGATGCGATACCATGCATGAGACACTTTGCCCTGGGGCTGAACTGACACCTCTGGAGCCACGCAGTTCTCGAGCCCACAGGAGGCTGCATTCACACAGCCCCCATTATTTAGTTTGCAGAGCAACAGAATCGGCAGAAAAGGTCGGTGGCGGATTAGAAAAAAATAGGATTGGTGCAACCTCAAGGATTTGGCTTCCTTCTTTCCATCCTAAATCCAAAAGCTCCCCTCATAATCCAACTCCCACCAGTTCACCCATCACAGTCCACTTGCTGTCCCTTTCCAAGATGCTTGTGGTGCGGTAACCTCCCCACCACTGCGGTCCACTCTGCTTCCCCAAATGCACACAGGTTTTCTCTGTTCCATACATTTGAGAACACGGCACAAAGCCTCATTTTCTCTTACTCCTAAAAGCTACAATAAATGCAAGATTGCCAGCTCCCATATGCTGCTCTGAATGTATTCCTCAGGTCTGTCATCATCATCCCAGAGACCTCCACCTTCTTAATAGAAATGCAAAGCAGAAAGCAAAGATAGACATACGACAGATGGCAGGGCTGAGAGATCTACAGAGACTAGATAGCTAAAATCTAGGTGATTGCAGAAGGGCAGTGGACCAGAATGGAAAATACAGACAAGAAGGGGAAGGTTTTAAAAGTGTTGTTTTAAATGGAGAAGGACTACTTCTGATACTACATGGATACTACATGGATAAGACAGGCACTGAGGGAACACTTGATAAATAAGATACGAACAAAAAAGAAAAGGCAAAAGAAATAAAGAAACATGCTTCAGGAGATTTATCAAAATGGTTTCTAAGCTTTTATGGAAAATCTAGAAGACACAGTGAAGGGAGAGAAAGAAGAGATATGTGAGGAATGAGGGAGAAGGAGATGTCGGTCCCTGGCTTCAAGCAAAGGCAGGGAGTGGGGAGAAATTACTCTTTGAGCTCTGTCACAAACTTAGGCAACTCTGGCCAGTGCTTTAAAATCTGAGCCTGACTGTCAGCTTCTCAGTCTGTGAGACACCCATGCGGACAGCATGACAGGGCACCAGTGACCTCCACTGAGGTCACACACAGCTTATTTATTTCACCTCAAAAATTTTTAATCGTATTGAAATAGTTTCTTTTCACAAGTTGTTACATTAGCCTTTTGTGTGGTAGATATGGTAACACTATTTGTCTTCTACAAAATAAATGTCAGAAAGATAATTTCAGGGTCCTGCAAGACACAGAAATGCTATGTCAAAATTAGGAAAGTTCCTTGAAATGAAGAACGTGAGACTACCTCAGTTATGCAAGGATCTAACTAAGGAGGGCTTGGAGCTGGCAATTGCTTACATGAGTGAAAAGCTTTATCTAGGTAAGCAAAATAATGCACACTTTTAGCAAGATTAGAGACTAAGCTCTTTCACTACCTCTTTGCAAAATGCCACTGGACATGAAATGCAAAAAGCAGCTGAGTTAGAAAGCAGAAGTTAAGATAGCACAGCTACTGGAGAGTTGCCTTCATTTGGGAATGTGGAGTAATTCTGAAGATCCAACAAATATGAGCTCTGGGATAAAAAAAAACCCAAAAGAACAAAGAGGAAAGTGAAAAATGAAGAACAGAAAGGAAATCACTATGCTTGCGCAATGGTTATATGCTTATATCTCAGTCTGTAGTGATCCATTAGTCCTTGGACAACTTATGGAGGCTGGACACAACTATACTAGAGTACTACTTTTAAGAAGAGTGAGCAAATCCCATTTATTGCTCAAATCTACTGTTTTAAAATCCTGGTTCACTTGCTCAGCAGTTCAGTCCAAAGTCAGACAGGTCCCATCTCACACCATTAAATTATAGTGACTTTCTTCATATGATTTACTTACTCCCTCTGCTATTGTTTAGTTTATTTGTAGACTGTCATGAATCTAAAATAAATGTTGCCAATATGCTCCTGCTCAGAGCTTCCCTGGGGCCTCCTCTGCTGCCTGCCTGGGGCCCGAGTTAAG